ACACTAACTGGTATTCCAACGCGGTCACCCATCTAGGTACTGACCAGGCTCGACGTTGCTTAACTTCGCTGATCGTACAGGAACTGGTGTTTCAACGTTATTAGCTCGTAAGATGTGGATGTCCGCCTGTAAAAATGGAATAATTGATTAGGAACATTCTTAAGATCTACCGTTATCTTTTATTTCTAATCGGTATCGCCCCAAGTAAGGTAGTAAAGCCACTGAGACGCAAAAGGTTATCAACAAGTGGATAAGCCCAACGCGAGAGTTACATAAATCGGAGATGTCATCATCAAGCAAGTGCAGAAATTTAAATACCTGGGAACTGTTTTAAGAGTTAGAAAATATGACACCGAAATCCGAAGACACATCGGATTAGGGAAAGAGGCATTCCAAAATCTTATCTTGGTGATAAGATTAGGAATGATTTTGTTAGAAACAAAAAAAATAGATTGTTAGGTTGCTATATGATCACTTTATATGACAGTGAATGTTGGATATGAAGAGGTGACTTGAAACAAGAGAAATGAGGTTCTACAGAAGGATATTGAGAATTCTATGGATGGATAGAATAAGTAACAAGGAAGTTTTAAAGAAAATAGGAAAGAACACATACTCAGCATCATAAAAAAGACAGCCGTAGTTCCTTGAAGATTTAACGAGGAAAGAAGGTTTGGTAAATTTAACCTTCACAGGGTATACTTTGGAAATGAGAGATGGACAAAGGCTACGAACCAAATACCTGGTGACCTTCTATGAACAGATAATAGAACAGGATGTGCAAACCTTAATAATAGTGGAAAAACTGCTAAGGTCTACAGTGAATAGTAAACTAGGGCGAGCTATGAACGTCCATAGAACAACAAAGATGAGCACAGTGCTTTGAAGATGTACTTGTATAATATGAACAGGCTTACGGTCACATCGTTTCCCGTGCAACCACCGAAGTTAAGCAACGTAGAGGCTGGTCAGTACCTAGATGAATGACCGCTTTGGAATATCAGGTGCTGTAACCTTTAATGTATGGAGGAGTGTACGAAATCTAATTCCAGTTGGGTTCGTTATATTCACATATGCGCATATAAAATTGAGAAAGCTAAAATACACATCTTCTCCACCACATATGGGCTAATTATTAAGACTGGTATATCTAACGCATTATTATATCCAAAAATAAAATAAAATTGAGTACAAAATATTTAGATTTCAGCGTAAAATAACATATAAAGTTGTTGATGTTCGGCTACATAAAAAACAACCAACCAACAAGTTAATATGAACAACATTTCGGCCAAAATCTCCAATTGCTACGAAGCCAAAACATCAGCTAGAGATCTCGAATCACTTTTTTTAATACCTTTTAGTAAACTGCATTATTAATATTACTTCCATTTGTACTGCATTTTTTTAAAAAGAATTTTAATTACAATAACCTTATTGTTAATTTCATTCAAAGTTGTTTTCTGTTGCCATAGCGGGATATGACGACACAACTATGAAATTCAAACAAATTCAAACAAATTCAAATTCAGAGACCAGAGTCAGCAAATGAACTCACATGCAGAGTAATAAAGCTCAACTAACCTCGTCATATCGTAACTATCATATGGATGTCATGCATGTTAGCAAACCAGATCAGAAATATAGAAGCTCTTCTAAGATCAATAGAGAAAGATGATTTGAGAGAGTGAAGACTGAGGCTCAAGGCGAAGATCATTCTTATTTGAAGATTGTGCACTGGAACTACATAATCACAAAGGACCAAACCAAATAGCAGAAGCCACGTTACTTGAGTAATAATAACAGCAACAACAATTAGAAATGTAACTTGAAGAAAGACAAAATAAAGAAATGAGTTAGAAGTTGATATTCCACACTACATCAAATAAAAGATTAGGAAGGAAACCCCCATGAATACTGGAAAGAGTGATAACAGCTACTGGGCTTGAGAAGAGAAAATAATGACATAAACAAGATGTTGATATTCCACACTACTTCAAATAAAAGGTTAGGAAGGAAACTCCCATGAATACTGGAAACAGTGATAAGAGCTACTCGGCTTGAGAAGAGAAAATAATGATATAATCAAGATGTTGTCATTCCACACTACTTCAAATAAAAGGTTAGGAAGGAAACGTCCCATCAATACTGGAAAGAGTGATAACAGCTACTGGGCTTGAGAAGAGAAAATAATGACATAATCAACATGTTGTCATTCCACACTACTTCAAATAAAAGGTTAGGAAGGAAACTCCCATCAATACTGGAAAGAGTGATAAAAGCTACTGGGCTTGAGAAGAGAAAATAATGACATAATCAAGATGTTGATTTTCCACACTACTTCAAATAAAAGGTTAGGAAGGAAACGTCCCATGAATACTGGAAAGAGTGATAACAGCTACTGGGCTTGAGAAGAGAAAATAATGACATAATCAAGATGTTGATATTCCACACTACTTCAAATAAAAGGTTAGGAAGGAAACGTCCCATCAATACTGGAAAGAGTGATAACAGCTACTGGGCTTGAGAAGAGAAAATAATGACATAATCAACATGTTGTCATTCCACACTACTTCAAATAAAAGGTTAGGAAGGAAACTCCCATCAACACTGGAAAGAGTGATAACAGCTACTGGGCTTGAGAAGAGAAAATAATGACATAATCAAGATGTTGATATTCCACACTACTTCAAACAAAAGGTTACGAGGGAAACCCCCATGTATACTGGAAAGAGTTATAACAGCTACTGGGCTTGAGAAGAGAAAATAATGACATAATCAAGATGTTGATATTCCACATTACTTCAAATAAAAGGTTAGGAAGGAAACATCCCATCAATACTGAAAAGAAGGATAACAGCCACTGGGCTTGAGAAGAGAAAATAATGACATAATCAAGATGTTGATTTTCCACACTACTTCAAACAAAAGGTTAGGAAGGAAACTCCCATCAATACTGGAAAGAGTGATAGCAGCTACTGGGCTTGAGAAGGGAAAATAATGACATAATCAAGATGTTGATATTCCACACTACTTTAAATAAAAGGTAAGGAAGGAAACTCCCATCAATACTAGAAAGAGTGATAACAGCTACGGGGCTTGAGAAGAGAAAATAATGACATAATCAAGATGTTGACATTCAACACTACTTCAAAAAAAAGGTTAGGAAGGAAACTCCCATCAATACTGGAAAGAGTGATAACAGCTACTGGGCTTGAGAAGAGAAAATAATGACATAATCAAGATGTTGATATTCCACACTACTTCAAACAAAAGGTTACGAGGGAAACCCCCATGTATACTGGAAAGAGTTATAACAGCTACTGGGCTTGAGAAGAGAAAATAATGACATAATCAAGATGTTGATATTCCACATTACTTCAAATAAAAGGTTAGGAAGGAAACATCCCATCAATACTGAAAAGAGGGATAACAGCCACTGGGCTTGAGAAGAGAAAATAATGACATAATCAAGATGTTGATTTTCCACCCTACTTCAAACAAAAGGTAAGGAAGGAAACTCCCATCAATACTAGAAAGAGTGATAACAGCTACTGGGCTTGAGAAGAGAAAATAATGACATAATCAAGATGTTGACATTCAACACTACTTCAAAAAAAAGGTTAGGAAGGAAACTCCCATCAATACTGGAAAGAGCGAAAACAGAAGTCGAGGAACCTGAAAAATTGTTTTCAGATAAAGATTTTATAAATTGTAATCGAATTCACTACTGGCTACTCTGTCAATGAATGGTAAATGATGCTTATAAGGGATCGGTTAATATTATCATGACAGATGAGGAGAACAGATACTACACTTTGATCCCAGCCCGATGTCCAGGGAGTGAAGAAAAGCGTAACTCAAGTAGCATTGGCTGCTCGGTCATTGAATGCCGAATGTTTCCTTATAAGGGAACGGCTAATATTACTATTACCATTACAGATGAGGAGAACAGATACTACACTTTGATCCCAGCCCGATGTCCAGGGAGTGAAGAAAAGCGTAACTCAAGTAGCATTGGTTGCTCGGTCAATGAATGCCGAATGTTTCCTTATAAGGGAACGGCTAATATTACTATTACCATTACAGATGAGGAGAACAGATACTACACTTTGATCCCAGCCCGATGTCCAGGGAGTGAAGAAAAGCGTAACTCAAGTAGCATTGGCTGCTCGGTCAATGAATGCCGAATGTTTCCTTATAAGGGAACGGCTAATATTACTATTACCATTACAGATGAGGAGAACAGATACTACACTTTGATCCTAACCCGATGTACAGGGAGTGAAGAAAAGCATAACTCAAGTAGCACTGGCTGATCTGTCAATGAACGCTGAATGTTTCCTTATAAGGGAACGGCTAATATTACCATTACAGATGCGGAGAACAGATACTACACTTTGATCACAGCCCGATGACCAGGGAGTGAAGAAAAGCGTAACTCAAGTAGCATTGGCTGCTCGGTCAATGAATGCCAAATGTTTCCTTATAAGGGAACGGCTAATATTACCATTAGAGATGAGGAGAACAGATATTACACTTTGATCCCAGCCCGATGTCCAGGGAGTGAAGAAAAGCGTAACTCAAGTAGCATTGGCTTTTCGGTCAATGAATGCCGAATGTTTCCTTATAAGGAAACGGCTAATATAACCATTACCATTCTTTTAGGCAAAAGAATACCGGAGTCTTCACTGACCATAGTGTTTCGTAAAAGGGACAGGATAAAATGTATCCAATCTCTAAGTCCCGTTGCATAATCATAACAAAAACTATTCGTCGGAGAAATGCGGAAAAAAAATCTCTTTGTTCTTTTAATGTCAAGATGTTTTTTTTTTTCTGATCATCTGTTGGGTACTGAAAGAAATATTTTATTATGTATCAAAACCTCGTTACAGAATTAGAAAGGTCTACCTAGTAACTGCTAGTTGCGTAGTTGTGCTGCAAGGTGTGTTATGGTTAAAGAGCCTCACTAATTTAGACAGTCTCGGAAACCTTACACTTTGTGGAAATAGGTAGCGGAATATGTAAAATAATTTCGCCTTCTTTCCTCTATTTTTCCCCTCCAGCCATATTTCTGCCTGAACGCGCCAATTCCACTTCTCCAGCCACTGCGAAATTCCTGACCTCAAACCAAAAACTGCTACTCGCATACCCCAGGCCACCACTCCTCGTCCTCTCTTCTACGCCATCTCCTATCCACCTTGCTGCATCCACCCGGCTTCCTTCCACTCACCTTCCGTCTATCCCGCCCACACAAGTTAGCTATACAATTTCGGAAGCAGTGCGATGGCTAGCGGCGCCATTTTGTCTAATGTAGAACGGCAACAGGTTGCTGATAATATCTTCTTCATTCAACCTCTCGGTCTCTTTCATCCGCGCCGACCCTCCCACTGGCTTGAATCACCACGCCCTTTGCCCAGCTTACCTCGAACAGAAGCCCGACCCCCAAAAACCAGAACATCATCATTCCCGTCATTCAATCACCCGCTCGCTTTTCCTTCACAGATAGTAGATAGTTTTCATTCTTTCCCTTGCATCTAATTAAATATTACCTTCCTGTTTCTCGGGAAAAAAGATGCCGCCATTTCTCTAATATCTATTCCATTCATTTTCCTCTAGGTTTCGTCTTGGCGACCGTCACTAGGTGGCGTTCTTTCACTAACGTTTTCTTCATTCATCATTATTTCTCTATTTACTGCCAAAATATAATATTCAAATCAGTTTTATTTTATTTTATTTTTTGGCTTTCTTTCTTTTTTTTACCGTCGTCATTTTCACAATTTGGTCCGAAATACTTACTCACTTGTCTGAACATTTATGAATATCGTCCGTTCTTTCATGTATTCCTTCTGTATATTTTCCTATCCACCCTCCTTCTCTCGAATAAAATAGATCTATTCTTTTCTGTAGCGATGTAGCAAGAATAAGCTATGAGTTGAAATCACTATAATTGCAGTAACTATGCATTCCTATTTCTTACGAGTTATTTGTGATATAATAATTTATTTAAATT